TACATAATAATATACATTTCTGACTCCTGATACAGAAATAAAGGCAAGGTAACATCCTTTCAATAAATCCAATTCTGGGCTGGAGAGATGAATCAGTAAAGCACAAGAAAGCTGCAGACCAGAGTTAGATCCCTAGAATGTAAAAATGCCAGGCGTGTTAGCATATGCTTGTAAACCAAAGTCTGGAGAGGCAGAAACAGAATCTCTGAGGGTCACTGGCCAAGAAGTCTACGCATAACTGGTGAGCTCTAGGCCAATGAGAGACCTGTCTCAAAAGAGGTAGACAATGAAATAATTAAGTTCAAAGAGGAGAGTGGTGTCAAAAATAAATGAACTCAAAGATTATAAAAGCTCTTTGCTTACACAAATTTAAAGGGAGAATGGGGTATTTACATACATTTTAAATATTCTGAAGCCTTTATAAAGGATAACAACAAAGATGTTCAAAATATGTTGCTGAGTATAAAGATATTCTAGTTTTGTGTTAAAGCAAAACAAGCAACCAAGCAAAAGATAAACATGTTTGTGAGTGTTGACAGACCAAGAACAGCATCCAAAAAAATATATTTCAAATAGTATCAAATTAATGCTGGCTACTGGGATAACAGAATTTTACTTCTTTACGGTCTTTGCAATAAGCATGTAGTGTTTTTTAATAATGAAAGGGGCAGAGGAGAGTTCTATTTGGAAAAAAACTGGGCACCACACTTTCAATAACTACTTCTTCCTATGAGACTGGTTCTCCCTAGGGCTTTGTTAAAAACAAACACTAAAGGGAACATATTCATTTAACTTCTCTCTTGAGAAAATAGTTAATAGATTTCCTAATAAACAAACTCCTCTAACAGAAGATACAATCTACTGTGTTTTAGAGCTTAAAGGACTTTTAATACATATACATACACATAGAGAAAGAGAAAAGAGAGCCATAAATAGCCTATCAGATGAAATGGACTCGTTTCAACTTTCTATTTAAACAAAAGGAATTATCAAATATAACTAATTACTCTGAATTATGGGATAACTGGACATACTGTGTCTGGCTTTGCATCACTTCACCATCCCTGCAGTTTCCAATCCTGCCCCACCACTCACTAGCATCATATTAACCTTGGCCAAGTGATTCATTCTCTCTAGGCTTTAGCTTGCTTATCTGCCATGTAGTATGATGCTCACTGTATTGTTGTGAAGATTACAGTAGTTAATACACGTAATGCAAATAATCTGTGAAGATTACGGTAGTTAATACACAAATTGTAAATAACGAATGGTGCTGGGTAACTATGTCCGTAACAGGTAATAATTATAGCAGGGTAATAACTTATTATTCTTATTCATAGGGAGGTAAGTGATTAAAGAGAGGGAGAAAAAGACCACCAGTCCTTCTGGCTGAGAGCTGGCAAAGGTATTACTGTTGGTTAATAAGGCTAAAAGGAGATTAGAGAATTACTGATGGCTTTTAGTTATACCCCAAATCCCAAGGGCTTCACTAGACCTAGCTGAAATCCCCCAAGTCCTGTTTACAGATTAACAGGAAAAATTTGGATATTGGTAGAAAAATTGTTTGGGCCAATTCTGAAAAATATACCATCAAAAATTCTTTCCCCTTGGTATTGAATTGATATTGCACACAACTCACTGACAAGCCTCTTCTAGCCACAGGGGC